AGAATCCAGCTATCTTCTATTAAATCAGAGATTATAAAAATTGCAAAACAATGTCACTCTTTTAATTTTTTGTTTTAGTATAACTACTTATCACAAAAATATGTTCTTTATGTTAGCATGTAATAAGTTTACTACTGTTATTTTTACATGTATCATTAAAACATATTTTTAAAATGTCTCGATTTTCATTTCAAATACGGTAAATATTGATAGCTATAACCCACATAAACAAAAAGTCTTTCATTTAATGATTTTTAAAAGTGGAAGGTGGTCAAGATCCAAAAGTTTAAACTCAAGCTTATTTTCAGTTGAGAAAATTAAACATTTTTGCAGTTCAGGTTGTCCTGCCTATGGGGGAGGAACAAGTGAATGTGGAAGATACATCAAAAAGTTTATCTTTAATGAATACTGGACTTTTTGGTTTTACATTATTAAAGGAAACTTCTTGGTAACCTCAAGTCAATATCTAACAATTCTAGCAGACAGAAGTGTTTGTGTTCGACATCTTATTGGCTACTTCTTTGGGACCTTACCTCTTCCTTCTCTAATTTTGCATGTCTGCGCTCTGCAGCCACATTTTTTTTCTTATTAAAATTAAACTGTGCATCCTCTTCGGCTTTCTGTAACTTTTTTTTCTTTTCCTCATATTCTCCTACAAGCTCCCCTGAACTGCTGATGTCTTCAAAAAACTGGGTTCTTTCTTTGGGTTTTTTCAATGAAATCGACTCTACAGTTCCCTTTAAAAACAGTAAGGTACATCAACATTTAAAATACAGTGATGCAGTTCTTTTTCCAAACTATGAATAAAATCAACTACCACAGCTACTTACCTGAAAAACTAGACAGTTTCTTGCTTTGACTATTATGCCTATCTTCTCCAACTCTGCTAAGTAGGCAGAACGACTCACAGGATTATCATCAAAACGAAATTCTGAGCATCCCCCTAAAATGAAATAAAGACTGTCAGAGGAAATATAAGTATTAGACATATCTGAACATTCACTGAAGGTTTAATAAAATTGTTTTTCTTATTGAAATGGTCAGTTATCACTATACATGTTAATAAATGCATTTAATCAGTCAGCTAATATTGAGTGTCTACTATGTGCCAGGGACTACTCTATGGCAATAAACAAAACAAACAAAAGTCTCTGATCTCGTGGAGCTTAAATCCTAGTGGGGAAGACAGACAGAGATATGCAAGTAAAGTAAATAGTCTGTGAGAAAGTTGTGAGTGCTAAGAAGTAAGACAGAGCTGTGAAGGGGTGAGGAAGTTTCTGTGTAGGGCAGCAGGTGCTGCAATTTTAAATAGGATGGTTAGGGAATCCCTTCTGAGATACAGACTTCTGAGTAAAGACCTGAAGAAAGTGAGGGAGCTAGCCAATGAGATATCTGGGTGATAAAGTGGTGAAACACTTAAATTATACATTAAGTTACAAGTACACAATAATATTTGATTATTTCTAAAATTATCTGTGATTGAATTTGGGAGAGGTTAATAAAATAGTGTATTTATACATCAGAGATGTTCTAAGTGGACCAGAATGAAAACAACAACAAACAAAACTAAAAAAACACTGAGCCTATTTATAGAGATTCTGTAAACTCCTGGCATAGACAGAAAAATAAACAAACAGCTCTCAATTTTGTTTTTTCAGAAAACACAGGGATTTCGTGAGTAAACTCACAAAATAAAAATTCAAATATTTCATCCAAGATGCTTTTTGATGGCAGAAAAACTGTCTATACAACTCAAAAGCATGTATTAGCACATCACTAAGAAAACCACATAAACATAACATAAATAACCTCAGGAACAACTTTTATGACCTCTCTTAGTCTTCCAGGTAGGTTTTCTCCTTCATTTTAATGAAATACACAGGTATAAAAATGCTATTTAAGAATAGAAAGATCTATCAAATATGTCTGCTTAAGGAGGAGGTCTAGTGCAGAATCCTTGTCAAACAGGTTGTTTTGCTTCTGAGATTTGCTATAAAAGGAAAAAAAATCTCTAGTTCACTATGCCGTAAAATAATAAATCATATCCTTCAAAGAAAGAAAAATCAGGTAACCTAACTCAACTCTTGAAAAATCAAATGAATCATTAACAAAAATCTATTAAAAAAAATACCTCGAATAATTCTTGCAAATGTTTTCTCTTCTCCACTCTCCTCCACATATACTATTTTTACACTTGCAAAAGAAGAAATGGGTTTTCCAATATGTGCGCCATGAATAAGTTCTTGAATTTTTTTTACTCTTAAATTAGCTATTTTTTCTCCCATTACAAAACTAAGTGCATCCATTACATTAGATTTTCCTGGGGAAGATAAGATAGATAGGAAAAAAAAGGTTATTAATTCTTAATGACAAAAATCCTTACCCAGAGTTCAAGAAACCAGGCCACCAACAGAAGAGAAATAGTCAATACCCATGTCTAAATAGTCTTGCCTTGTCAATATTCAGAATGCATGAGACTGAAAAATTTTATGTAGATCACTATGGTAGAGCATTAAGTGGTCTAAATGTAAGGATTTAAATACCTGGAACTAAATGCAAGATCTCCTTCATTGTTAGGTATTATACCACAGTAAATTGCTTAACTTCTCTGAATTTCTCTTACGGCTATTTTATAAATATGGAAACTATCACCTAAAGTATTAGTGCAGGACTAAACCCTCACATACTTTAAAAAAAAAAAAAGGCTAACTAAATCCAGGATTTTCCCAAGGGCTAAACTGAGGTTTGAAATGCTTGCTTACAAGGTTGGCTGATATCTGGGAATTTGGATTTCAAGGGAGTTCACCCCATTCCCTGATAAGAACATCTCACTGTGCCTAAACTGCTTGTGCAAACAATATGATTTATGCTGAACACTTGTTTGCTTTCTGGGAGTCTGGAATTTTCATACGTGGTAAGTCACCCTGCCCCTCTGTACCTCAGTTTCTCCGCTAAAAAATAGGGATAATACTGCATGGATGAATTGTGAGAGTTAAACAAAAATACCAGTGCCAGGGGCTTGGTAAATCTGGCTCACTAAATCTGGTCGTTATCACTATATTCCTAGGTCGAAGATTCCCTGAAACCAATGACTTCCTCAAGAGCCATCCACTACTACTTAATCTTTGTGTAAAAGGAGGAAGAGGCCAGAGAAGAGGGGTGAGGAAGGCTGAGCTAAGGAGAAGCTCAAAGGCAGAGGAAGCAAGGGCAAAGAGGAGGGCAGGAAGGGGTCAGGCGCCATGGAGGGCAGAGGGCTGGGGTCTGTGAAGGGTGAAAGCTGGGGCCCTGGAGGGGATGAGAGGGAGAGTCTGTGGGGTATGGGGGGCCAGGGCCCTGGGACTCAGGGGTGCGGGTCTGAGGGGTGTGTGGTCTGTGGGGGCCGAGGGTCTGAGGGATGCAGGGTCTGCAGGGGACAGGGTCTAGGGTCTGTGGGGGGCAGGGTCTGTGGGGAATGGGGTCCAGGGTCTGTGGGGGTTGGGGTCTGAGGGGTGTCGGGTCTCTGGCGGACAGGGTCCAGGGTCTGTGGGGGTCATGGTCTGAGGGGTACAGGGTCTGTGGGGGACAGGGTCCAGGGTCTGTGGGGGTCGAGGTCTGAGGGGTGCAGGGTCTGTGGGGGACAGGGTCCAGATTCTGTGGGGTGTGAGGGCCAGGGTCTGTGGGGATGGGGCTTTTGGGGTGTGGGGTCTGTGGGGGGGGGCAGGGGACAGGTTCTGGGGTGTGTGGAGGATGCGTTGCAGGGTGTGTGGCAGCTAGGGTGTGT